GTTGGTGTCATCTGCAAACTTACTGAGGGAAGGAGCAGAAGGAGCAGATCATAGAAGTACACACTCATTATAGTTGGAAGGGACTTAAGGAGGTCACCCAGTGTAGCCCCTCACTCAGAGCGGGATCAACCAGATCAGGGTGCTCTGGGCTGTGTCATTCCCAGCTCTGAGCATCCCCAAGGACAGGGCATCCACAGCCTCCCTGGGCACATGCCCCAGTGTTTGACCTCCCCAAAGAATGAAACCTTATTTCCCAATATCTAATTGGAATTTACCCTCTTATAATCAAAGCCTATTGCCTCTCATTCTGTCTCAGTGCACTTCTGAAAAGTTTCCCTCTATCTTCTCTAAACTCTCCCATTAGGTAGTAGGAGACAGCATTTAGATTCCCCCAAGCCTCCTCTTCCTGTGCATGAACAAAACTAGTCCTCAGCCCCTGTTTGTATGTCATGTGCACCAACCTCCTAACTATGTTGGTGGCCTTGGACCCTCTTCAGTATCTCTAGGTGACAGATAGATGGATAATTGGATAAAAGCTTATTACTAGTACAAGGAAGTAACCTATAGTCTGGTTTCATGAAAGAGTTTAGTCTTAAGTGCTGGTTTTCCCTCTGATTAAATGCGAATTTAAGCATCCAGATAGGACTGAGGAACTGAAATTCTTCCATGATGTGCATATTTGTTACAGTGAATTTTCAAGTGATCTCTAGGAAGGCTGGAATGAACTGAAGTGTTGAAAGGCTAAATGTCAAAGTCTCTAGAAGTGCCTCTATCTCTGAGGAGGTTATAATTATTTTTACTGATCAAATTATGATCAGTAGAAAACATTTGTAGCTACACATAGGCATAAGTCTTTAGAAAGGTGAGTGGAGCTCAGGTATTCTGCTGTTTACTAATCAGCTATACCATGGAACTTTTTTCATCTTATTTTCTAACGTGAAAATCCCATGTTGTCATGCAGCAAGACATAGCCTTTTTTAAGTCATTGAAACATTTGGTTGGAAAGGCCCTTAGGAGGTCATCTGGTCCAGCAGCCCACTCAGAGCAAGTATGCATGCTGAAATACACTGGCTTTTCTGTCTTGAGTTGTCTTCATATGAACTGCAGCAGCACCATGGTGACCACAAAGCTCTCATGGCTTCTTATGGAACAGTAACAGAGAAAGCTGACAGAATTCCCAGAAGGGGTGTTCATTGCTGGTATGCTCAGTCAGTAAACTGAAGTAAATATTGCCCTTACTCTTTTATTATTCTCCTTTTTCTTAAGACGCTTGAATACAATGATATCATGTATCCTGCCTGGACATTTTGGGAAGGAGGACCAGCTGTTTGGCCAATTTACCCAACAGGTTTAGGGCGCTGGGACCTCATGAGAGAGGACCTCAGAAGGTATGTTTTGGAAATGACTATGTGGGGGGGGAAGTTTAATGGAAGACAAACTCGGAGTAAAAGCCATCTATCACTGGGCAGCACTGGGCCAACGTTGAAGTCTAAGACCATAGGGCTCTTGGCCTGTGATCTGTCTTGCTGCCTCTCATTGGCTACATACCACCTGGTATGGTGTGTAACTGGTGTGTAAGAATTCTCCATGGAAACGTTGGATGATGTTACTCGAAGTTATAATTAGCTTCTCTGTTTCTAACACTTTAGTAAGGCATGCAGAAGACAAAGTGTACACATCCTTCATGCTGTCAGGGCCAGATTACTATAATTTTCGGTGGGGTAGGGTTTGTCAATAAAGTAGCAGTTATCTTTTGCCTGCAGAAATCTCCCCTGACACATGGAAATATTTTCCTTTATTTCCAACTACTTCTTTAGGAGCTGTGGTTTTTTTTCACTGCAGGGATGATCCAGGATGTTTGTATAAGCTTCTGGAAGGGTAAAGGAAAGCCTTCTTTAGATCTGCTTTTACTTGAGTGTTATTGTGCATTAGAGAAACCTGGAATCGTTCCCAAGAATCAAGAGTCATTACTGGGCTGAGAGTAAGACAGAAGACGTTTCAGACTGGCAGTCTTTCTTTTGGCAGGATCTTTGACAGTTAGCAAAATAAGGGCTGTTTCCCCATGGAGAGTGACAAACAAAGTGTGCAATAGTGAGTGAACATAGAATCAGAATAGAATCAGAATCATTTAGGTTGGAAGAGACCTTTAAGATCATCAAGGCCAACCATTAACCTAGCACTGCCAAGCCAACCACTAAACTATGTCCCTGAGCACCAACCACATCTTCACGTCTCTTAAATACCTCCAGGGATGGTGACTCAACCACTTCCCTGGGCAGCCTGTTCCAATGCTTGACAACCCTTTTGATGAAGAAATTTTTCCTGATTTCCAATCAAAACCTCCCCTGGCACAATTTGAGGCCATTTTCTCTCATCCTATTGCTTGTTACCTGGAAAGGAGACTCACACCAACCTCACTACAGCCTACTTTCTGGTAGTTGTAGAGAGTGATAAGGTCTCCCCTCAGCCATCTCTTCTCCAGACTAAACAACCCCAGTTCCCTCAGCAGCTCCTCATAAGGGAGGAGACACCTCACCAGATTCATTGCCCTTCTCTGGACATGCTCCAGCACCTCAATGTCCTTCTTGCAGTGAGGGGCCCAAAACTGAACACAGTATTCGAGGTGTGGCACTCACCAGTGCCAAGTACAGGGGCACAATCACTTCCCTACTCCTGCTGGCCACACCATTTCTGATACAAGCCAGGATGCTGTTGGCCTTCTTGGCCACCTGGGCACACTGCTGGCTCATGTTCAGCCAGCTGTTGACCAGCACCCCCAGGTCCTTTCCATCAGGCTGCTTTGGATTGACATAGAAACATAACAAGAAAAAAAACACCTTGATGTCAATCACTTGACATCAGAATGCAAGGTTAAATGTTTCCCTCTTCAAAATCTGAAGATCTATGGGACCAATCATAGCTTAATGTGATGTAATACAATGAAGGTCCAAAGCATTTTACTTATCCTTGCTTTCTCAGAGAAGCCCAGTTGTGTCACTGGGTTACAAGCAGATGCAAAACTTCACCTGCGCAGGTCAGTTTTGAGATCAAGACCTAAATGTCAAGCCAGGTGCAACAGAGAAGTACAACAAAGAGTTCCCCAGAGGGAGGCAGGTGACTGTACTGACAGAAATAAAACATGAGAACAGCTACTTTGAAGGACTTGGTTAGGTTTAAAATGAAAGTTATTTGGGAAGACAAATGAACCCCTGTTTTTTAAATGCAAAACACTAGATGGGTTTTTTATTTGTTGTTGGTTATTTTTAATGGGAAATGACTAGTCATTTTGCACTATCCTTATTCAATGAAGTACAGAAAAATAAAGCAACAATACAAAAAGTGGATTCAAATTTTAGGTAAATTTTAATACCCCTAAAGGTTTGATGAGGGGCTTTTGTGTAATTCATTGTTTTGACTGAAAGATACTGTGAAAAGTAGCCTATATCATGTTGCCTTAAACACAATATTCACAGGAAAACCTGTTTCATTGGACCTGGCTGAGAGTTTTTTCTGCTATAATGAAGAAAGTGATTTCCATCAAAAATGAAGAATAATAAAAAGAGATCATGCTGTGAAAACTGATGAGAGCGCTGTTTCATGGTTATATTAAATCATTTATTGCCATGTATAAACAATATTTTCAGATCTGCAGAAAAATGGCCATGGATGAAAAAAATCTCTAAAGGATATTTCCGAGGATCCAGGTGAGCATATTCTCCTGTAACAGGAGATGCTACAACATATGACATGACAGCTGTCTGTATGCAGAAATTTCAGTATCTCCAAGACCTCAACAAGTGTAGCCCAGCATGTACTTTTTAAAAGTAAGGAAAGTGAGACATTTTGTACAGCAGCATTTCACCATTAGTGATTCTCCTTAAGAATTGTCATTTGCAACTCTTTCATAATAATATGTCTAATATTGGAAACAGAAGTTGTGATGGATTTGCTACGTTATTTCTTAATGAGTAAAACTGTCACACTAGGAACCAACTTGTTTTGTTCTGTGAAGGGAACAGCAGGTGCATGACACAAATCTAAAGATTTTATATTGATGTGCGTGCTTCTTTCCAGTGTGAATACTTTATTCTCTATGCAAGTACTCAACAGTGAATCAACAGCTATTCTTGGATTAAGTTACCTGAGCAGTGGGGAACAAGAAAGTAGATTATTTTTGCCCTCTCTCCAGTGACAATGTGAAAACAGTGTTAACCCCTACTCACTTTTGTTCCTCCAACACTTTGTTCTTCCTCCATCCCCAGTGGGGGTGGATTTGATATCTTACTAGGCAGGCTCAGGAGATGATGAGTGAGCCCCAGGGATGTCATAACCTTGTTTATCAGCAGTGTTTTAAATTAGTGTTGGAGGGATCAAGTGCTGAAGGTGCTTGGCATCTCTTCGCTCGCTCTGACTTAGAAAGGAGTCAAACTATTTCACAGCCATCAGTATAAGGCCTGAAGGAAACAACATCTCTGCTGATTTGTCCTGGGAATAGCTTAAATAATGCTATTAACTATTCAGTAAGTGAAATAAAGAACACATAACTCCTTCTCTTCTGCTAATACACCCTTGGACAGAAATACACTGTATAGTAGGCACTAATAATGTTTTTGGGGGACATAGGGAGGTCAGCCTCATAAAGAGACAGGATATTGAGTCCTGTAGTTTGTTAGCTGTGTTGAGTCAGGTGGATTGGCAATGACTGATAGCATTTCTTTTGCAGAACAAGCCCTGAGAGAGATCCCCTCATTCTGCTGTCCCGAGAAGACCCAGAACTTGTTGATGCTGAGTACACTAAAAACCAAGCTTGGAAATCTGAGAAGGTGCGTGGGTGTTCTCTGTCTCCTGAGTGTGAAGGCCAGAAAGGGGTAGCATTGCAAGATGGCTTTGATGATTGAGATGCATCTTGTTGGAGAGTTGTGGGTGATCCTCTAAAGTGGGGGAGGCTTGTAGTTCCTGTGATGGCGGCATCTCTCTGACAGATGAAAGGAAGGAGTCTCTAGGGCCTGGCAGGTCAAACATTTTTCTTCCATCTACAGTTTTTGTTCCAGGAAACCAGCACACATAAGAAAATGAACTGTGCCAATCCCCTTGTCTTCCATTACAACAAAATTAGCCAGTTCTTCCCCTTCCAGCTCTGAGCTGCCTGTGTGCTGTCACACAAGGTTTTTTAAACTTTTTTCTGTCATCTCCATTTCTTGGTCTTCTTGTTGATAACTTTCTGGTAACTGTTGCTAGTAACTTTTTAGTTCCAGACTTAGTCTACAGTCCAGCTCTCTCCAGACAGTCTTGGCTAATCCGGTTACACTCGGCTTCACATAGTCCCATTGTCCCAAGCTGCTTTCCACTCTGTAGCTGCCAAATAAACATTATCATTTAATGTGTTTGTGCTGCTGTTTGCCTACAGGCAATGTGTAATTTACTGAACTTTTTTTCTTGCTTGAAGGGCTGGGAATTCTTCATAATACTTATAAAAGCCCACCAGAGAAGGTTTTCTCAGAAGTGGGAATGGAGAGGTTTGAGACTTTGTTTCTAACTGAGAAGGAAAACAAATATGAAATCACCATATAAAGCTGATGATTGTGGGTTTTTTAATTCTTTTTATTTTAAGGACACCTTAGGAAAGCCTGCTGCAAAGGAAATTCCACTGGTTGATCACTGCAAGTACAAGTAAGAATTTTGATTAGTAAAGCTGTTCAAGGGCTATGGGTTATTTCTTTTCTTGCATGGTGTAAGATCTCATTTTATTTTAAGGTCTAATTCCAGGAATCAGCTCCATGCAGACAAGAAAACTTGTGAACAGACTTCAGGCAGTTGAAAATTTGGGAGCTTAGTGTGGCCTCTTCCAGTGCCAGCTTTCCCCTGTTGGGTCAGGAGAAGTAAAGTGCTTTGGGGAAAGTAAAGGTCTTAGATCACTAATAGACATATAGATTGAAATTTTTATTATTTTATTTTAATCAAAAAGCCTTTCTATCAATTTTTCATTATATTCCTGTACCAAGCTTTGTGTTCAAAATTGTTTTTTTGGTGCTACAGTGATAGCATTACTGTCTTCAAAGACAGAAGGAACTATGGAATCGTTTATGCATGCTGGGGCAAGTATTGCCATTGGATGTATATATTAAAGGAGAGAACCTGAAATATGGTTGAGCAGATATAGTACTGATTCATACTTTGTATGTGGTTTGTGAAAATGTGGTTTTGATTTACAAAGGTTTTTATTTTTTAACTACTTTAGGGAGTGTTTTTTGGCATAATATTCTTGTGGGTTTCTGTGTAAAAATATAAACTCTTAGTGTGTATGCGCTTGTATGTCTTGATTTTTTTTTTCTTTTTCTTTTGCTTTAAAATGACTTAGTTACGATTCTACCAGCTAGAATCTGCTGATAGAAGAACTCAGTCATTTGGCTGGATCTGTTTTTGTGCAAATGTTATTGACTTGTCTCATTTGATATTTCACTAGACTGTTGCCCAGATTTCTCCCTTCTGTTACATGCAGACTTCCCAACTCTTGATGCCTCCTAAGGCCCTCCTACAGTATAGGCTGAGACATTCACGCACACTTTTGTCCTAGCCCAGGCTCTGGTAGGGTCAACATGAACTTCTCGCTGCTTCCTTCAGTTGTAGGCATTATAGCAGGCTGTCTGAGAGCAGCCCTCAATGACTTGGCTGAGGTCACAGATGGTGGGAGCTGTGTCTGGAATGGGACAGAGGCATTTCTTCGCTTCCAGACCACTGTACTTGTTACATCTCTATATGTATTTGTTGAGTTCCTACTACAACGAGCTCCTCATCCCTGCCTTGAGTTCCTAGGTAATACAAAGAATGCAAAGTAATTTCAGATTTACTCCCTTGTCGCTTACTGCTGAGCTAAGTTTAGCTAGAATTCCCATCTCACCCCAAATATATGTAATATATAATCCCCATCTCACCCAAAATAGCTTCATTAAAGGAAGAACTCCCTTCCCTCAGCCCAAAATGTTTGACTTCAAAGATTAGTTATATGTACTGAGGGGTTTTACCCACAGGAAAAACAGCTTTCCATATAATTGGAGAAATGTGGGTTTAAAAAAGCAAGCAAGTAAGCAAACAAACATCCCTCTGAGATACAGTTTGCTAAGAGAAATCCTCCCCCAGTCAAGCCCACTTTACTAACTTGGCAGAAAAGACTGAAAACAAAATTGTGGATTCTTTGTTATCTGCAAAGTCCATCTGTTGTGTGCTAGCCTGTTTAACCTCCTAGGGTTGCATTCCCAGATTCAGATTAAAGCAGGATCCCAGAGGAAAAAAAAACCCAAACAAACCACAAAACAAAAACCTGACTGAGATAGATGTGGCAAAGCAGAACAATGAACAGAAAAGCTCACCACAAGACAAGAGAGAATTGGGAAAAAGCTCCTCCTGGTAACAGACTCTCTGAAGTGAAGAGTCACAGGACCAGCATCCAAGTCGTGACCTTCCATGCCTTGTTGGCAGCTGTCCATGAGGCCTCTTTTGGTATGTCGCAGGCAGGTGTCTTTATCAGAGGTAAAGCAGCATGCCTTGATTTTCAACCTCAGTTTTGACAGGCAGCGGAAACTCACCTAGCACATCCTTAACTTAGCTCACCTTTCCTGAAGTGAGGAGCTTCAAATAAATGCCTTCCCTTTGTTTCAGCAACAGGTGCTTGGCTTAGTGTGAGGGTGACCCCCTGGCTGCCCATGAGGGAAGGCTGGCTGCTACTTGGAGACCAGTTCCTTGGTGCATTCCCTTACAAAATGGCAGGTGTAATCAGGTCCCTCTCTTTGCTTCTCCTTTTAAAGGTATCTGTTTAATTTCCGGGGAGTGGCTGCCAGTTTCCGGTTGAAACACCTCTTCTTGTGTGGCTCACTCGTCTTTCACGTTGGAGAAGAGTGGTTGGAGTTCTTCTACCCCCAGTTGAAGCCTTGGGTCCACTACATCCCAGTCCGATCAGACCTCTCTAACATCAGGTGTGAGACCCCAAGTGTGCTCAGCGGAGCGTTGTGTGCCACAGGAAAACAGTGCTGTGTTTGGGAAGGCGGTTTGGTTTGTGTTATGCTAAGAAGTGCCTCCACTCCTGGGCATCTCCTAGACAAAGGCTCTTGAGGTCATGTCCTTTTCCCTTTATTCCTGCCCCCAGAGAATCCTTTACTCCTATTACTTGGAGAACACACTTTCACTGGGGTATGTAGGTCTGTCGGCCTTACTGAAATCAGCAGGCACTGGGCACTTAAATTTGCTAAAGAGGAATATATTGTGGGGCCGAAAATGTGTTAGCTGCCACATTTCAGCGTGCCATCCAGAGCCGGTACAGAAAAACTGAGAATGGCAGGTTTCTTCTGTGCTCTGAAATGAGGAGCACTTGTCTCGCTCACTTGTGGAGGATGAGATTAAGGATCTACAACAGTTTAGCTAAGGGACAGTGTTCTCCACTGAGCTAGTTGTTTTCTAACATTTTTTTTTTTTCATTATAGGGAGCTGTTGCAATTTGTAAAGGAAAATGATGCCATAGCACAAGAAATTTCAGAGAGGTGAGTTGTGTGTCCTTTCTGGCTCTCGGGCACTCTTCTTCCAAAGCATTTTCTTAGGCAGCTTTTGAAGGGGTTACCTATCAAAGACAGCCTAGTGTTAATAGGGTGCAGTATAATTGATCTTCTGCGATAACAGCAGGAGGGTTGGAGAACTTGTAACCCACAGGGGGAACCGGAGAACAAGATTGTATATGCTTAGGTCTTTGGTTCGGATGTGACCCCACTGAAAGCTATCAGAAGTTGGGAGCTTTTGTCTCAGTATGAGGTGAGCTGACCCCTGGGAACGGTGTCTGCATTGTAGAGCATTACGTATCCAGGCTGGCAGCGGCTGGCTTCTGGAGCAGCATGCATCAGTGCTGCTCAGGCTCTATCCGATATGTGAAATCTGATATTTATTATCCCAGATAACAAATACCATCTTGAGGATAACAAAAGCACTGCAACCGTCAGAGCTGAGTGAATGAAAATTATGAAATTGAAATAGATGGTACAGAGCAGTGCATGTTGTTTCTCATTTGAAACACAGAAGAGTGAAAGCTGATACACATGTAAAACAAAACCAAAGACTCTTGTAGGAACTGGAAATTGGTTCTGACTGTGCTTTGTGTGTCTCTAGGGGACGCCAGTTCATCACCGAGCACTTGCAGATGGAGGACATCTCTTGCTACTGGGAGCATCTGCTCTCTGAATATTCCCAAGCCTTGACTTACAACGTGAAAAGGAGGAAGAGCTACAGCGAGATCACTTCTGAGTGGCCGAAAACAGAACTGTAGAGATATCTCGTTTTTTCTCTTCAGCTCAAACTGATCTCTCTGGAAATCTGAAGATTGGTTTATCTTATTTCTTGTTCTCTCAGACTTCTTACCCTTTACACTAGAACTGCAGAGAACAGCAATAGGCTAACTTGGAAACTGCTCCTGTACGGTGGGAACCGCTTATATTGTCACCATAAGAGTGTTAAGTAGAATGTTGGATTATGGCCATTTAATGGGGTGGTTAGGGTGGTGCCTGGAAGAGGGTTATTAGCATTTGGGACTTACTTAGACCTGTCTTGGAACAATCCTAAATCCCATTCTGTCAAGAAGAAGTCTTTCTGATAATTTTTTTATTTTTTACCAATTCCTCTGTACTCACGGGTAGGGTACACAGACTGTCAGCTATGCTGAGCTGGGAGATGCATTCCCCTCCCCACCCCGCCCCTTTTTTTTTTTTTTTTTGCAAATGGTCACTGTTTTCTCACCTGTCTGATAGCACTTGGGATATTAGGTGTTCTCTGACAGAAGCAGGTAGTGGGATTTGGCATAACCTTTAGCTTAGAGTTTATGTCAGGTTTTAGAGGTTGATGGTAAGGCTTTGTTGTGCCATCGAAAGGACAAATGATCCTTGCATAATTAAACTACGTACCTCAGAGGTGAGCAGCAGCTGATGATGCTGCTGCCACGGTGCTAAACCTGAGTAGCAGACGGTGAAGAAGTTGGTAACAGACAGAGATGGTTCATCCTTCGACAGATGAGCTGGGTGCCCGTGCAGCCATGCAGAACTCGGCCCCTCTTAACCAGCTCTCACCAGTCGGCTGGCCAGACATCCTAGGACTCTTAAGAACCCAGAGAAAGTATATGCAGAGGTAGATTCAGCTCTTCTTTTTTCCAGATGTTGACAGATTCTCTGCTCTGGTCCCCTTCTGTAATCGTTCTAGGGGGTTTTTTGGGTTTTGGTTAGTTTTTTGTTCTGTTTCTTGTGGGGTTTTTTTGAGGCTGGTAACACACCTGCACACTTCAGTATTGGCTTTTCTTTGCCATAGCTGTTACGCTCCTTTTCTATCTCCTTCAGTCTGGGTGAGGGACTGTCTTCAGTCACACAGTGGCAGCTACTCCTCACATTACTCACTTTGAGTTCGGTCACATGTTGCTTGTGCTCGCTGCATTTATGCCCGCCACAGGCTGGCTGGGCCCAGAGGGAGTGCAATTTCAGAAATGCTCTGTGGCCCCTGAGTGGAGAGGCCTGGTAGGAAGCAGCATCTTCTCTGGCATCCAGACAGGCGCTCAGAAGAGGGACCCCAAGAGGGCCGCTGCTTCCCAAGTGAGCACCCTTGATGAGAAAGCGGCCACAAGGCATAGGAAGTAGCATGTTCATGGGAGAGAATGACAGCAACAAGCTGGTGGCCGCCTCTGGTGTCGGTTCAGACCAGAGAAGAAGAAAACACTACCAGGGACGGAACGCTGTGCTCGCGCAGACACGCGTGCGCTTGCGCAGAGGCCTCACAGCACTGCCAAGCCCCGGTGTGGGGACCTATTCCTCGAGAGCTGGTGGCTGGAGCAGTGCGCCGGTTACCTGACTGGCACTCGGGTTCTCCCAGCCTGCAAAGGAAACAAACGCGGGGATTAAAATAGCCTGGTTTCTGAGGAAAAGAACCGTGCAAGGGGTTTTCTGGGTTTGTATTTTTAGTCAATGGAGAGACAGCGCTCTGAGAAACTGCAACAGTCATGTATAATATTTTTAAACTGTTTTTAACAAAGTGCTTTTGGAATAAAAGAAACAAAGACAAAGTGGTGTTGGATGCATCATTGCTTAGTCAGAATTGTCATAAAAGATCTGGATAGCCCCCAGCTCTTTCCCCCAAGATGGTGAAGCGTGGCTTTCTGTTTTTTCCCCTCTTTCACTGGGCTACTTAGGGTCTCGCTGCTTCCGGCCTTGGGTCACCGCGGCTGGAATATTCCTCTGGTCAGTCGCCTGTGTGAAGGGAGGACTTTTATTTATTTAGTCTTTTGTGCTCTTAGAGGGGCCGAGACCCTCGCCTCTGCCTGGGGGAATCCGGGCGCTCCCAGGGGGGCGGCCCGGCGCAGTCCGGCCCCG